AAATTTTTTAAATTTCATTGCATAATTTTTTTTCTTTTTATATTTTATCACAAAATTTCTTATGCCAACTGATAAACATTATCGTTCTTAAAATCTGCAAGCAGTGTATACTGTACGTAGACTCTTTTCAACGTAATTTTTGAGTTTTTCGTTCTTAACTTTGTTATTTTATGTTAAATAATGTTTTTTTATAGTTAATTATGATTAGAAAGATTAGTATTAACACATTTTCTAAAAAATTTTTGTACCTTCAAAAATTCTGGAATACAACCACACAAATTTCGAAAAGTTGTCTACTAAAACCAATATAAATTATAAGCTTCGTTGTTTGCTTCATATGTCCAACATTATCAAAATTAAAAATGCTTTATGACCGATTTTCTTTATCAATAAGATTTAGTAGCAACTCCTTCCTTCCAGTCTTAGCGTTATTTACATACGTATATTACGATGCATTCGATACAACTTCTTACAACCTTAGCTGCTTTTGAAGTAAGTAAGCCTTCTTAAACGAGTAGTGTCCTTGCTTCCGTGCGGTTCGGATAATATACTCTTCCATTAATGAAGGTACCATTATTTTTAAAAATCTGTATAAAGTAAATGGCTTCTAAAAAAATTCCTCATATTCGATATTTGATCTCATAGTCATAATCCTGCAACATTGTCGCCTAACGAGACACACTCACTGGAACCTCATTCTTCCGTATAGTCATGGCGAAAGAGTTACAGTCAGTGACGATTTTGAAATGGACTCCCATTAAGTATACTCTCAATTTCTCTTAAGTGCCTTCACAATGGCCAACAGCTCATATTCATAGGAGGAGATATACCACTCCTCGACAGGCGTGGTTTTCTTTGTCATATACTGGTTTGGATGGAAACATTGGTCATCACTGTCTTTCTCCACCACATTCAAATATAGACCCATTAAATTCGATGATATTATCAACCTGCTGCAGTATGTTGTTAAAAGTGATAGCTTGATATATAATATCACCTTCATGGATGATAGGAAAAAGTATTTCTAATTCACACGCGTCAATGTTTGTTTTATGATTGCAACTGCCCATCATGTTTAGAATACTGCCGCCTATGCCTTTCAACTTCCGATTTATTGGCAAAGTGACCTATCTTCCTACATCGATAGTAACGTATCACCTACTTGCAGTTTTGTGGCCCTTTTACCCAAGTCTTCGTGATTCCCTTGAGGCAAAATCGAACTGAGTTGACGCCCTGAACGTATATTGTCGTATATGAAAATCTGCGTTTTGAGTTCTGCAATCGTACTAGCCAAAAGTTCGCTTTGTTCGCCATAGAGTCAGGGATGCTCTCAGTGAAATTTTCAATGATCTAACTTTATTGGTACACCTAACTTCATTAGGCCATATAGATATTCACGTTTGGGCGCTTCCGCCGAGTTCTTAGCTGACGATGCACCTCAATAACGGATACTGTTTACGCAAATTCTTTAGTTAATGCTTGCTTAGTATTCCCCAACTATTGATACCGCGCTGTCTTCGCACAAAAATCTAAACAGCACCTCTAAGCAGCTGCTTTTCAAAAACAAGCTTTTGCAGATTGTCCCACTGCACCGCTGTGAAATTATTGCCAAAGTCGGCTAGCCATTCCTCAAGAGTTGGATTTCCGATACCACTAAATGACTGAAGGCTCATTACTCAGCGTTCCTATCGAAGCCATCGTTGTTGCTAATGGTAACTCCGCAATACTCGCAAAGTCCGTCCTGCAAAGTAGCTTTGCGTGTGTTAGTTGAAAGTCCCAGACCAATTAACTTTTCTTTTAAACCATTTACTGTGCAATGCAAATATTTGATCTCTATTCATGTCGAAATTTCCAATGGTAAATTATTACAAAAATATTTATCACAATAAGTAAAAGTAAAATAATACAATTGTTACAATAGTGTAATACAGTTTTTTTCTTTTCCAATTATTCTGAGCTTCGATTTTAAATAAACATTACGTTAAACATTCTTATTGGTAACAAACCTCAAGTGATATTTAGCTTATTGCAATTAAAATCTTCTTCAATATCCAGATTGTATATATTTTGACAAAAGCAAAAATTTATTTTGGTGATACAAACATTTAAGTATATGGTTTGTACTCAGCAAATAAATCGCTTATTTCAAATTATGTTAACACATTTTCTTCTCTGTTATCAAATAAAATCGCAGAACTTAAAGATTTTAACGGTTAACACATGCAAATCTAAATCAAAAAAGGTTTCTAATTAAACTATACATATTTCCAATATAAAGCTGCTAGTACTTTTTGCTTATTCTTTACTTCCAATCTAAAATTTTTTAAAATAAGTGTAAACTATTTTTTAAACTTTTATGACAATCTTCGGTTAATTGTATTTATAGAAAGTACTATAAGTTATTGTTAGTTTTTATACAAATACATATATGTTAAAAATGCGAAAATATAAAATAAAAACGAAAAACTAAAAAAAAAACATTTTGGTCGAAGTTTTTAAATTCGGTATATTGTTAAACTTCAACTTTTTTGTGGTATTATTTTTACAAATACGAGTAACTACATTGAAATGAGAAACACACTTTGAGATCGTGGACAAACTGGAAAAAAAATTTAGAAACAGTTAAAATAAAATTTAGTGGAAAGTTTCCTACACAAAGAGTCGATAAAATCTACTATTCCTAGGGTTATACTTTTTGAATTAAATTAAATTTGTAAAGCTATGTGCTCCTCTTCAGTCTTTTGTGTTCTATCTACTGTGCATAGATACGGTTTTTATAATATTTAAAATCTCCTTAACCGTAGGTATCGTAGTCTGTGCCAGCGCAAAGTTAAAATCATTTAAGCTGCAATCTTGATAACTACCGACAGCATGGAAATGGAGAGTTTCTGGTAATGTTCTTTCAGCTCATTTAGTAAACAAAATACTTTCTTATTGAAATAAAAAAAAAAACTTAAGGACTCATGGACTCCCACGCAATCGGACGTGCCGGTACATCGATCATCAGCACCACATGATTAAGTATAATATTATTTTCAATTACAATATTGACATAAATAAATAACAATTTTTAATAAGCAAACACTAAAACTGGTGACCCTGACGAAGCGTAAATAATCTGCTGATGGCATAACATGCTGAAAACCATATAAACATCGACACCCTGAACGTTAGACTCCATTAGGTGACAACTTTGGATGGTGGATTGGTGGATTCGACCAGATTCGCCATAGTGCTTGGTTTGTTTGTTAAAAGGATGTGTTGTGTATGTCAAGTTGAAAAATTAACCACAGGTTTTTCCAATTTTTTGATTTTTGTCGGTTTTTAGATACAATGTCCGTCTTGAAACGCACCCTTTTTTTAATTTGACACAGTGAACCAGTGCTAACAAACAAATTTTTAGCGGTTCATAATCATGCGTTTTTTAATGTTATTGATCCCTCAAAATGTTACAAAGAGCAATACCAACAAATTCAAAAACAATTAAGAAACTTTGCTAGTAAATTGGTGAATAAGTGGGAAACGAGTCATAGGTAGATAGATTGGCAAAATAAGAAATGGTTAGATGGAGGATTTCCGTCCGCGATGAAATACAAATCTATCCAATTATTTCTGAACGACGTCCTACTTAATTTAAATAAGTTAAAACCATCGTTTAGTTACGGCCCAGACATGATACCCTCATGCTTCCTAAACAATAGTGCCAAATATATTTACTTGCCTTTGACAATGATATTTAATTCCTCTCTTAAACAATGTATATTTCCTTTAATATGGAAACAGTCATTTATAATCCCTTTGCATAAAAGTGGATTTAGGTCCAACATTGAAAACTACAGAGGTAACGCAAAACTACCAGTTATACCTAAACTTTTTGAAGATATTATTCTTCATCTCAGCATGGATTTCGTAAAGGGAAATCGACTCTAACAAACTTGCTTAAATTTGTAAACCATGTATCATTGGTATTTAGGGAACATAAGCATACGGATGTTATATGCACAGACTTTAGCAAAGCTTTGGATAAAGTAAATCTCTCGATTCTCATACATAAACTTGATCTGCTCAGCTTTCAGCCAAGATTTCTTCAATGGGTAGCTTCTTATCTTTATAATAGAGCACAACGAGTTATATTTGAGGATACTCTTTCAGATACTATTAATGTCAGGTGTTCCGCAAGGTAGTCATCTTGGCCCGATTCTGTTCTTGTTGTTTATTAACGATATTTCTTCCGTAATAAAATTCTCAAAAATTTTATTATACGCCGACGACGTAAAACTTTTTAAATCATACAGTTCAACTGATGCAAGGTGTCTGTTGCAAACAGACTTAAACAATTTGGTTGCATGGTGTGATAGAAATTATTTGCCATTGAATCTCAATAAATGTAGATTTGTGCACCCCTCTCCTTATGTAATAAAAGACCATAGTCTAGAGCTAGTTTTTAACTATGTTGATTTGTGAGTCAATATGGACGCTAAGCCTAATTTTAGTCTTCATATTGACACCATGGTCTTGAAAGCGAAAGCTGTCCTCAGTTTTGTTAAACGTTGTTCTAAAGAATTTAGAGATCTGTACATTACGAAAACACTTTTTACAACTTTGGTTAGACCTATATTTGAATATGGCTCTGTTGTATGGAACCCTAGCTACCAAACCCATTCTGACAAGTTAGAGTCTGTTCAAAAACAATTTTTACTTTTCGCCCTACGCATTACCGAATGGGTAAGACTACCTCCATACACTGGTCGTTTAAAAATTATACATCTACCTATACTTTCTAGTCGCAGGGAAATGCTTGGCATAATATTCTAAGTAAAAATCTTGAATTGAACAGTTTGCAGTTCTTTTCTACTGTCCGAAATTAAATTTAATATCCCGGTTCGCTTTTCGAGGCAGTTTAGATCTTTACTGTTAAAAGGTGAGGAGGGTAATCTTTGGGTTATTATTATTATAATTTTGCACACAATGGCTTGTGAAAACTGAAGATATCTTTCTAGCACAATACTCCTGGTTTTACATGCCTCCATCAATTCATATAATTTGTATACATTGCGCAGATATTTTAAAAATGTTTCGTTACCAATAATAATGATATTAGAAGGAGCGCTTGAAGCCAGATCTAAAGATTTACGCAATTATAGGCTGAACTACATCGAAAAACCTCGAACTGCTCATCATGGAAGACTCTCTCATAACCTCAAAATCTAAAAGTACTTCGAAGTGCTCTAAAATGTGAATATGTTCATACAGATAATGAAATCAAGCAGCTTTTTTTTTAAATGTGAATGAGTTACCGGACAGTTGTATTTCCGAAAGCTCTGATTTGAATTATATTTCTAAGCATTTCCTTGAATGTTAAGTATTAAGAATTTATAAAAAATGTATTTGTGTTATAAAAAAACGAAGAATTACAGCTAACATTTGGTACTTTTTCATATTTTTCATATATGTTGTATATAAAATAATAAAGAAAAACAAGAAAATTATCGAAATTTACTGATAAAGTATTTGTAATTAATAATTAATAAAAATAACATTACACTTAAATCGAAGGACGAACCTGTCACATCTATAGCGACCACAAAACATTAAACCAATTGAAACAATTAAGTTTCGTTCTGAGGTGCTACGAACATTCAAATCACTAACCAGTTGATTTGTTCGGCCTAGATTTCAAAATGACAGTATAGCTTTCGCAAGAGCATGCGAGAAAAGTCAGAAATTTTAAACAACCCGGCAAACATTTGCGACTCTTAAACGCTACGAATCAGGAGACATGCTATTCGATCATATTAGTTTCGACGATGTAGATCCTTTTCCTTAACATATCCGTAACCGCCACTTTCTCACAATCCGCTTTACCCGACATGATGACACCACACATCGCAAAGCTCGAATCGTTAATTAGATTGCAAGGTTGGGAGTTCTATCATTTCATCAGATCGAGGTCGTTAATTTACATCTACTTTATTTACAGAGCTGCTCGCTCGGTATAACACATATGAAGACAACAAAGGGTAAGTCGAAAAATGGCATCGTACGTTGAAACGTTTAATTTTATGCATCAACTCAGAACATTGGACAGACTTTCACCGACCATCTCCTAGCCCTACGAATCATCTACAAGCAAGACCTAGGGCGTCACCTGCTGAGTTAAATTATGGTTCAGCATTGTAAATTTTTTCAGAATTTTTTATACGTTGCTGTTGACATAAAACGCCGTTAATTACTCAACTCCAAGAGAGGATCATCAATCAGATCATGGAATGCATCGACGCTATACGTTACATTTAAGAAACTCACAGAAACATTAGCATCACTCGTAGTGCTGTTGGGTTAGTGTGTGTTTGAGCTGCTTAATAATTACCGCAATATTACAACCCTGTTACTGACTTGATACACTGTTGCTGATGCTCAGCTGATAATCTGCTACAATATTGCAGTAATTATTTCACGTAGACCATGTTACTTAAAATATGAAAATTTTAACGTACATAATTGCAGACGAATTGTTGGAAAATGAAGGTCATACTTTTTTGATAAATACGGACATAAAAAAGACAAAGAAATCGGATTTTGTTTAAATAATACTGCAAAAAAACGAAAAGTGTTAACAGTGAAATACCTTTTCAGTAGTATTGAATTACGCCAAATTTTAAGCGAAAAACAAAGAATAAATTTTATCGATCATAAAATTTATATTTTCTACAAATTGCACTTACAATTCCTCCCCCGTCTAAGCGCGTAATCAAAATTTGTATGTTGCTTTTGTTTTGCTAGTGATGTGCAACAGTTAATCTTAATTAACCGATTGGTCCCTTAATCCTTTAATTCTTTCCCTTTTCTCATGGACTCTCATGCCATTGAACGTACCGACAGCAGAGATCAGGAGCATCGAACATATTATATTACTAACAATGTGTATAAGTTTTAAATTACAATAGTGAAATGAATAATTTTGAATTTGTATGAAAATCTATGGCTTTAGACCATGAATTAATTATATAAGGTTGTGTCGATGTGCTCGATTTTATGACTCAAAAATACCCTTTAACAAATTCCGTATTACACTTTTAAAGTTTAATCCGATATACCAATACCCACATATCTAGTGCTAACTTTTGGTTTTTAAATTTGAACATTCACACTCTTCCAGCTATACAATTTTTCATCAAAAATGTATGTTTCTTAAATATTATACAATTTAATTTTGGTTTATAGAGTTCAAACTTAGCAAAGGCTTTTATAAAGAAGGTAAGTACTTGAATTTTGTGTTGTTTCTAAAATTTATTAAATATAATTGCAGATAAAAATTATGGTGTCCTAAACATTGGATGTACAATTGTATTTATTTCTAGATCTCAAATGAACATAAAATTCTGTTACATCTGCGATTTTTTGGGCCTCAGTTGCTAAAGACTGTAAAGAAAAAAATCTGTACATTGAAGTGGAAGGTACCTGTACAAGAAAGTACTATTTTCTAAGTGTTAAATAAATATTAATTGGATAGTAAAAAATTTATTGAATACCGTGCTACCAGTCAAAAGACGAAGACGCTTTAATTTCTGGTGAAGAAAAAATTCCTTTAAAGTTTGTTGGGCGTGTGTGGACGCCACTCGTATTGTAAATACCAAATCTATAATGATAATGATTAGGTAAATGAGTTTTAGTTGTAATTCATTTCTAGTTCGTAAACGCTACACTTCTGAACGATTATTGAGGTAGTTAATTTGTTAGCAAGTTTAATCAAAAAAGGAAATTATGTAACTTTTATGGATATTGTATATATATAATTGTGGTCATATATCGGCATTGGAGTAATATTTTTTTAATTAGAATTAAACCTAACTGTGGCCAAAATTGTACATATATATTGTATATTGGTATGTTGAATAAGTATTATTGTTTTTAAAAATCCATACTTCCATACTAATAAGTTAAATGTGAATGTAATTGTAACGGATTTCTCGAAAAATCGCCTACTTTGTAACTCACCGTTGAGTTCGATCACTGAATTGTTAAATAAAAGTCCGAATTTAATGGCTATACACTTATCTTTATTTCTAATTCCAACAACTTAACGCTTTACTTCTCATTATCTGAGCTTAGAACTTCTTACATATATCTCAATTGCTCTTAACGCGACAACACTCTAATTAGAACTTTGTTTGTTGCCGAGTCCGGCATCCCTTATATAGTAAAGCTTTAAATAGAACTACAAGTATATTTGCTGCACAATCCAGCAGCCCTTATATAATAGATTGTTAACAAAACTTTGCTATTCGAACATTCTGGCAACTACGAATTTTGCTATCTAGTTGGTTCTAGCAGTTTATCACCCATTCTGATTTGTTATGGCATTCGTGTTTGCCACACTGCCCTCCACCTAAGTCTGATTGTCCCGATTATACATATTTGCTGCAAGCCGTTCCATATGAACTACTTTCATTTTATTCCTTGGTCTTCCAATGGTTTGTATGCGATACACTACATCGTTGAGTCGTTTAATAACTTAGTATGGTTACACTGTAATTTGGGAGACAGCCCTTTCTTTTGTTGGGGGTTATATAACAATACCCAATCGCCTTCAATAAAACCCTCAAAGTTAATTTTCTTATCGTATTTTGTTGTCATTTTATCGCTCATAATTTTGGTGCGCTGTCTCACCATAGCATATATATCCCTATTTTCGTCTTCTAGGATGCTGTTGACTTCCTTAGCATTTCTTCCTCCGTCAGCGTTAGCTTCAAATTTCAAATCAATCGGTAGTCGAAGATAATTACAAAAAATTACCCTTGCTGGGGTTTGCCCCGTTGTTTCATTTACAGCAGACCGATAAGCCATCAGGAACAAGGATATATGGGTAACCCAATCTTTTTGATACTTGTCCACAATTTTCCTCAAATGTTCTTCTAAAGTTCGGTTGAATCGTTCTTCCATGCCATCAGACTGCGGATGTAGTGCAGTCGTACGGGTTTTCCATATACCCAGTTTCTGGCACATCTCCTGAATTAAAGCTGATTCAAAATTCCTTGGTCAGAATGGAATTTTATTGGAACACCATATCTCCATACCCAATTGTTGATGAATACATCCGCTACTGTTCCTGCCTTTACTAGACACAAACTTTAAACTATTCCATTGTGCCCAATAATCCTTTGCGACTGGGCTTTCTGCTACTATTTCTTCTCGCGTTGGACGTTTATTCATCTCCAATCCATGTATTACACATTTCATATCTGAATCTTCTTGCTGACATTTACACAGTTCTTCCGGTCCCAGTCTGATGTTACTGTCATTAGTTGGTCAACTATAATGTCTTTTTTGGCCTCAGCTTTCGAGCAATGTCTGCATTCCAAATTACAGGGACGGCGGGACATGACATCAGAATTTTTATGACTACTACCTTTGCGATGTTAGATAGAGAAGTCGTAACTTTGGAGTCTCTCAATCTGCCAACTGCCCTCTTGGGTTCCTGAATTGTAGAAGCCCTTTTAGTGCTGCATGATCTGTTCTCATCGGAAATCGCTGGCCATTAAGGTACTTATGACAATGTTTGATGTACTTCACCAACGCCCGTAATTCGCTTCGAGTTACACAATAATTTCTCTCTGGCTTGCTTATTGTCTGGCTGTGATACGCAAACACTTTCTCATGCCCATCAATAACTTGTGATAGAATGCCTCCTACTGCAAACCCACAAATATCCGTATACAAAATATCGGGTATGCTAACAATGGCGCTGTTCCTTTTTGTCTTTTTAGTCTTTTTTTGCCTCTATCTTTTCTTTAGCTGTGCTTTCCGTTGTTACTGTGTGTCCTAAGTAGCTTACTTCCTTTTTGAAAAGGAAACACTTTCTTGGGTTCAGATTTAGGAAAGCCTCTTCCAAATTCTTAAGGTTTTCATCGAAGCTTTTACCCAACATGATGATGTGGTCTTCCAGTGTAATCCTTTTAGTAACTGGTCCATTAGTCTCTCAAAAGTAGCAGGAGTGTTACATAATTCAAAGGGCATTACGGTAAATTGCCATAGACCATCTCCAACGTTGAAAACTGTATTTTTTTTGTCTTCTTTGTTTGCTTCCACTTGCAGTATCCACTTTTCAAATCAAATATTGAGAACCATTTTGTACCTTATAACGAGTCCAGAGTGTGGTCGATTCTAGGTAGTGGGTAACTGTCTTTCTTCGTAACATCATTCAACTTTCTATAGTCCACAAAGAATCTCTTTTTTCCATCCTTCTTCTTCACCAGTACTACATATGAACTCCATGGACTAGCTGATGGTTCGATTACGCCGCTTTTTCTCATTTCACGTATTGAGTATTTTAGAAGAAGTTGTTTAGCCATATTTTAATGGTTTGCCTTTAGATCCTCGGTCCATGCATTTATTTCGCTCGATATGTCGTTTTCGTCCATGGAATCTTCCTCAAGACCTATTTCGCAATTTATCACGGCTTCAATCTCTTGAGACTGCCCTAATATAGCTCCTTTCGAGAGTTTGATTGGCTTGCAACTTGCACTCGTTAAGTACTCTTACTGGTTTATCTTATCTTGTTAGGGTTTTGATTATAAGTTAGTTTGCTGTATGTTCGTTTGTTGCCTATAGTCTTCATCTATTTCTGCCCAAATTCTGCTGATTTTGATGGAATCTGCTGGCTCTCTGTTGTTATCACTCGTCTAACCTTATCCTTAACCTTATTATCGTAACCGAACATAAATGGCACTACCATATTTGTATAAGTCGTAATCCTGTTTTCCATGTCAATTTTAATTCCTTAATCCGCTAGAAAGGCTGCCTTTTCAATTACGATCTCGCACGTTACTTTTCCGAGAACTTGGATATCTTCTATGGAATGTGATGCGCCCGTAGCCATAATCACTATGAAATTTTTGCCATCTACACATCCACTAACGGTAACATTCCTCGTATTACTGCTTATTTGTCAAATGTAGATTACAGAGTATTTGCTTGCGGGAGCCAGCCCGTGCCCTTTTCAGCTGGGTCGCTTTAGTTTAACGATTGCTTGGATTTGACGTTTGCTTGATCTTCCTGAGCTTTGCGTTTACGTCCAACTGGATTGTTGGATTGGTACAACAGTCCACGTGCAATATGTCCACTTTTTCCGTAGTTGAAGCATTTAACCACACCATCATTTTTCTTACACGCTCCTGTAGATTTTTCCAGTGCTTTCTGCATGTTGCCAATGTTTTCAAGTAATTGCTTCACCCAAATGTGTTCTTCTATATCTATTTTACGAGCTTTAAATGTTCAATTGCTAAGCAGATATCGAGTTTCCTGCAACGAAGCGTATAGTGTTAACTCGTATTCCATTGACGAAGGTCCGAACTTTCGTGTCCTCGATGTATTCCACGGATTTATATGCATAAGCTAAGTGAGCTAACCTCTCAATCTCTGTAGAAACCTCCTGCAAAGACTCATTGGCTTTCTGGCGGCGATTTCGGACTTTATTTGGAAGATATGCTTCCTATGCTCACTACCATACCGACTATCTAATGCACCCATCAAGGTTTCATAACTACTTGCCTCGCAGTTTGTAATTGTCTGTAATATCTTCGCTGCAGAGCCTTTAAATGCAATGAACAATGCAGCTACTTTATCTACAGTTTTCCAATTATTTAAAGATGTTGTCTTACCGAATTGAAGCTTAAAAACATGGAATAGAACAATGCCATCAAAGGATGGAGAACCTTAGCAGAAGCTGACGACATAATTGGCCGATTTAATTGTAGCTCGCGGAGCCGAACTTTCAAGTCATCTACTTCATTTTTAATTTTCTCCCGCTATTCCGAAATCTGAGAGAAACTTCTGCTATTTTTGGGGTCATCTGCGATATCCGTGCATCCTGCTCTTTCAACTGTGAGGACACCTGTGCTGATATACGAGCTCTTCCAACTGCGTTGTCAACCCAGTTACTAACTGCGAAATTTGTAGGGTCATACGTGCATCCTGCTCTTTAAACTGTGTCGATATTTGCGTTGACATCTGGGACAATGCAGCCAAAATCATGTTTATGTCTATAGCATTTGATGAGCAAGTATCTTCCTTTTCTTCTATCTTTGTTGTCTCTTCCTCTAATTTTAAATAAAAGACATATTCATGAACATTAATGTGTTTCGCCTCTATTGCTTCTTGCATCCGTGATTGTAACTCATAGCCATTTTCAAATAATTCTCTCCTTGCGAATTAATTTGACAATCCCACTTCTGACACCGATTGTAAGGGATTATTCGATAAATCGTCTACTTTGTAACTCACTCTAGAGTTCGATTACTGGATTGTTAAATAAAGGTCCCAATTTAGTGGCTATACACTTATCTTTATTTCTAATTTAACAACTTAACACTTTGTTTATAGCTCAATTGGTCTTTACACGGCAACACTCTAATTAGAACTGTGTGTGCTGCACAATCCGGCAGCTCTTATATAGTAGATTGTTAACAAAACTACGCTACTCGAACATTATGGCAACTACGAATTTCGTTATCTAGTTGATTCTAGCAGTTTATCAATCATTCTAATTTGTTCTGGCATTCGTGCTCGCCACAGTATGTTAGTTACGCTTTCATGTCGAAACTACGTAACCGATTATCATACAACTTTGTACCCAAATAAATATCTGAAAATTCTCAAGATAAATAAATAAATATGTAAAAAAATGGGGTAAGTATCATATGATTACATTTCGAACTCTCGGTAATTATTGTAGTAGATTAAGGTAAGTATTTTACATAGGGTTGTTAAGGTAAGTATTTTTATATAAACAAGAAACTTTATAATTCAATTACAATATTCTAATAATTCATTTTATATTTTAAATAAATTTAATATTTAAGTTAGTTTTAGTATTCGTGAAATCGCTTGACGCAACACCGGCCACCTTGACGGTGGTACGTTGTCTTCGCGAACGAGGACGAGATCGTCGCGATATAGATTGCGTTTCGGGTGCTGCTATTTGTTGCTCTAATGAAGGCTCGTCAGGTATGTTTTGGACCTCTGCTGCCAAAACTGTTGCTTGAGACAGC